GACACGCACAGGCCTTTAGGGGGTATAATGCAAGATGGCAGGTCTCCAATCACTGGAAAATACAGATTTATCTTCATGTATTATGATGTGAATATGTTATGGTTTTATATTGGGGTAATCTAAGTACTGATGCTAAAGGTGAATGTAAGTCGGTGTGTCCAAATGAGCCTCGAAATTGGCTTTTCTTCAGAGCTACAGTATGACGGCAATTTCCATTTTCTCTTCCTTATTGTCAATAATGGTGATCATAAATGTGACGCTCTTCCAGAAGGGCTTTCAGCTTTACTTTAAAATATATGATGATAATGGCAGGCAGCTCACTCTGCATTAAAACAAAAAGTGGACGTTTAAAGGGTAGGCTACTCGTAACCGTAGTACCGTACTAACCTACTTAACCTACGGTTAACCGTCAGTTTGATAAAACACAAAACACATGCATGATATTTGATACAAATTATATTTTTTCTGAATTCCGATCTTTTTGTTAATAATGAAATTGTTCAAGGAGTATAATAATAAGTGCTGTAATGCAGTGCACAACAACTGGCAGAGCTATTTTCTACCAGTCATGAAATATAAATGTTAAATTAAACCATAAAGGACAAAACGATTTTGAAAATGTTAAATGTTCTCCGTAATTGTCAGTCCTCCTTTTCACATCTGACACAGCGCCACCTTCCCTGCTGCTATCACCTGAGCCTTCATTGGCTAAGCTAATGGCTCTCATTGAGCCAAATTCTACACCGAAGCAGACAGCAGATGTTGGAGCGGTCAGACGAGGCGGCCAGAATGACAACAACAATCCTTCTCGAGAGAAGCAACCTGACTGGAAGTGCCCCCCTGCCTCTCCTCCAGATTTTCACACCCCTGCTGGTCAAAAGGGACATTTGGGGGCTGTCACTCACAGTTGGCACACGTGTGATTACCTTTTTAGGATGCATTGTCAGAGAAGTGCATGAGAATATATGTTATTATAAATGTTGTGATAAAGGCTTAAAGGAGAAATCACATTCTTAACCTCCACAGGAATCCGCAGGAAAAACAAATGTAAAGCTGGTAATGCTCACGAGCGCTTTAGCATAGCGGGTTCTTTTTGTCATGACATGAGGAGTTTTAACCCTGCCCTTGTACAGAAGGTCAAATCAGGTCATAGAGTGAAAGAGGTTTACTTCACTTCATTGTTTTTTCTTGTTTTGAACCACATTCCCAGTTCTTAGCTCAATGTTATTATTGCTGACAATAAATAACATTGGTGACAAAAACTCTGAAAAAGTTTGTGCTTTAAAGCGCCATCTGGTGGTTTAAGGAGATACTGCCAAATAGTTAGACGAAAGAAAATAAGAACAATTTGCATAATTTACAAAGCTAGTTATTTGAACATTTAAATGTGCTCAAGAGTTCAGATAAAAAAGATAAAAGAAACATAAAATTCAATAAAGTTCTAGTACATTTGAATATCACAATGCCCGTCACAACACATCATCAGTAGAATGTTAGCGAGCTGATGCTTCCTCAGATGCAGGGACACAAATTGTTTTTGTAATGAAAAAGGGATGTGAGAGACCCTGCTCTTGTTAAGGCTCCAAAGCCTGTAGCTAGGACATTTTACCCTGAATACATTTAGCAGATCATTTATTGTGGTTATGACAGTTGAATGTGCCATAACAAATACAGCTTTTTTTTGTCCCGTCATGTTTTTTTTCACATTTATTTAGTAATGGGGTTCTGGTAGATTATTTAACAATCAGAATTGACTCTTAAGTTACTAAAAGTGGAACATTCCTGCAACTAACTGATCCGTTTAATGTTTAGCTGATATCAGAAAGCTTGGAAGGTGTACGAGTACCACCTGCTTAGGTTAAGTCTGATCCGTTGAAAGCTGATTGGTATTTATAATAAGCTGTCTGCAGTTATAATGTATGCTTGCTGGATCATGAAAATGTTGCCATATGCAGTCCTCTTAGAGACGAACGTACCATTCAGCAGCAGCAAAAGAGAGGGAGGGAAGGAGGAAGCAGACAGATGTTGCTGTTAACGCATCTTTATCTGAGCCACCATTGACGCCTATAAAAGATAATAGCCAGGCACATAAAAGGCAATTGCTCAAAGCACACAAGGCGCTTCCAAATGCCACCGGTTCCTAATGACATTAGGCAAGACAACATTTTTGTATAGCTCATCGTCTGAGGTCTTCATCATGCGGGTTCATTGCACGTTTCATTGATTCTCTTATCATGCAAGTGGGACAGATTTGAGAGGAAACCACCAGTAACATGCTCAACACATGCATAGACACTCCACTTGTATTTAAAGGGTCTGCTCATGATGAGATGCTGTCAAATCCCCTCACAATGCTGCCAAGGTGGAAGACTTTGAAGTGACAGCATCAAGGTGTTGTGGTTACAGAACCAGTTAAAATAGGCCATGGTTGGGGAGAGGATGCTCTGTGTGATCAAAGGCTACACGGATATCGCTTTGACTGTTCCATGTTGCCGAGGCGAGGCGCGCGTTTACAGAGACAGAAAAAAGGAGAAATTGCATCGGAGCGTTTATCTCAACAGCAATTATATATCTGATCCTGAGACCGAGACATGGAAGCAGAGACAAGCAGAAGCTGAAAGGAGAAAGCGTAAATACCAAAGGTGAAGGGAACCTTGATAGAAAATCCAGGCTAATTAATGAAAAGGCAGTGAGGTGAAATGAGCAGGAAATCCAGGAGGAAGCTATGGCTGACTCCTTTTCTTTGATCTTGTGCTCCAGCGAGACTTAATACCCAAAACTGCCGAATGCACAGTGACTCACACCTGTTTCCAAAGCTGTGAAAGACAGAGTAGACGGACGTGTTATTGGCTGGTAAGCTCCCTTGTCACAATCACAGAAGGAGGAAGGATGTGATGTCGGAGTATATATTATTAAACCCTCTGGAAGCGGTTCGACAGTTAAGTGAGCGACCTCTGTGTAAAAACAGTGATGATATGATCTTTTATCCTCACATGATCAACCGGTTACTCTATCATCAAAAACAATGCACACACTGCCAATCTGTGGTCACAAACTGCACTACACTAGGCAAGTGTGTGTCTTTATGAGGACAGAACACAATGAGAGATAGGAGAGAGGCAAAGGGCTCCCAAAACATCAGCACATCCTGCCATGAGCCATGAGCCATGAATCTGATTAATAGCGATGTGAGAGCTAATGCTATGCTCTGAGCCGGGGTATGGATCATTGAGATAAGAGCCAGTGCTAAATACGGAGTAACGGCCAATAGGAAATGACTTGTTATCTAATCAGCCCGTGATGAGGCGGGGTATCTGTTATGAGCAGACAATTCAGCACTGCTGTGACCTTTACGTTGAGGAACAACAAGTTTCATTGCAAGGATTTCAGTATTTCTGAGATATTTTTAATGCATTTTGTTTCCGTCCCAACAACTTTCTTCATCATGCCAACACCATGGCCCATAAAATGGCCTCTAAGCAGTGTTGCACACTCCAAAATGTCAGCAAAAACTTGTGAGAAAAATGAAACAGTGGTGGAATTAACTACATTACTCAAGTACTGTACAATTTTGAGTTTTTGTTTAATCATGTTATGCCACTGAATACTTCTACTGCTCTACATTTTGGAAGCCAATGTTGTACTTTTGACTCCACTTCCTTTTTTGGACAGCGTTCGTTTCTATTTACCTTACAGATTCAGATAAGTATATGCACATGTACCAGCTGTGATAGACACATTATTGCATCAATAATCCTAAACCAGGAAAGTAATATGTCATAGCCTGTTACATTTCGAAAGCCGACTATTAACGTCTCATCCAGCTCGTTGTAGCTCATCTCAGCCAAAGATAGTGTGTCATAGCTCATTTATCTACAAGTCTGTTTGTGTTCCTAATGAGCCACTCAGATTGACTCTCTCTGCATCATCTCTCCTCCCTGTACTCCGGGATCAACAGTCTATGAATTTCCTCTCCATGTGCTCGTACAAATTCATTAAGCAGTCAATATCCTGGAGACGCTGCTGAAGTATGTGCTCGGATGTTAGAATTTGTCTCACTGAAAATGAGTTAAAGCTTAAAAGACTACATTATGAAACTCTTAAGAGGCAATTAATACTGAGTAGTGTGGTTATTTAATTTTGAGATTGTTTGCTTAATTTGATTAGAGTTTATTGTCATAGGCACTGATTTCTATTGAGCACAATCATTTAAAAAATGTAACCATTTTACCATTGTTGTATTTGGGATTTTGTTCGTCATTTTGTTTCAGTCGTTTAATTAGTTTGTTTTTTCTTTTTTTTTACCCTGTTGTATTTCTAGTTTTTTTTCCTAAAAATCTGAAATGAAGCAAATCTATATTTTTGCTTTATGCTTCACAATACGAGAGAGAGAGAGAGAGAGAGAGAGAGAGAGAGAGAGAGAGAGAGAGAGAGAGAGAGAGAGAGAGAGAGAGAGAGAGAGAGAGAGAGAAAATCTGACAATTGAACTGTAGTTAATAAAAAAACAATGCCACTCAAAAACAAAATATAATATACAAATATATTTNATACACATTAATACACACATTAATACACACATTAATACACACATTAATACACACATTAATACACACATTAATACACACCTGCACACATTTTAATCTAATAATCTGGTAACAGTCATGAGTTCCTGATTGCACGAATTAAAAACTAGATTAGAGATGAGGTATTGTCCCCAGGGGGGAATTCATTTTCACAGCACTGTACATGAACACACATAACATACAATATATAAACAACAACAACAACAACAACAACAACAAACACAATGAGTGGGTTTCTTGTTGGTAAATAGATGAAAAGTAAGAGAAAGATTTTCCTTCCAATGAAATAAAAGCACATCTTATGCTAAAAACTGTACATTTTATGCCCCAAACATTTAGATTGTTGGCACATTTGACAATCAACATTTAAGAAAGTCTCAAACCTTGATCTAATTGCCTTTCCGTGTGTTTTGTCCCCTGCAGGTACCCTTCCTCTCAGTTCGGCAGCCTGACGGGGATGCAGTCTCTGATCAGCGCTCTGTTCGCTCTCGTGCAGCAGCCGCTGTTCATGGCCATGGTGGGACCGCTGGAGGGAGACCCCCTCTGGGGGAGAGGAAACACACACACACACACACACACACACACACACACACACACACACACACACACACACACACACACACACACACACACACACACACACACACACACACACACAGATGGACGCAACTGAACTCAAGACTCAAATAAATACAGAAGGACTAAAAAGATGAATAAAACACGTACAGAGACACAAGTTCTACAAATTACACACAATTAATACAAAGAGACACAAAACGACACAAAAATATATAAAATGACCGGAATCTATAAAAATCCAAATCGGTACCCAGCCCCTCTCCTAACCTCCCCTTGTTTCCTCCCCTTGTTTCCTCCCCTTGTTTCCTCCTCTTGTTTCCTCCCCAGGTGAACGTTGGCCTGCTGGTGCTAAGCATGCTGGGATTTTGCCTCCCGCTCTACCTGCTGATCCACAGCCGGACACTGCAGCGCCGCCGCGACGAGCAGCTGGACGACCCCAAGATCTACCTCAAGGTCAACGAGGACAGCAAGACCGAGGCCTTCGTCTGAGGGCGAGATACACCCCAAAATACGAGAGAGAGAGAGAGAGAGAGAGAGAGAGAGAGAGAGAGAGAGAAAATCTGACAATTGAACTGTAGTTAATAAAAAAACAATGCCACTCAAAAACAAAATATAATATACAAATATATTTAAAAAAAAATCTGGAATGCGATGACATACAAAAAAAAGGAATAAAGTTATCATCAATAGTGAAAATTGTTCTTATCCCTTTTCCGTCTTTCCTCCATTCCTTCACTTCAGGTCTGATCCATATTCTAATTTTTCTCATATATGATTATAACGGATGTGTGAAAGGAAGAAGTAAAGATGGATGACTTCTCTCTCAATTCTGTACTGGATATCAGCGCAGAGGAGAGTCAATGAAAGACCCTTGAAGCTCAAGACAAAATGCTTCAGTGAAGTGGCTCACAGAAGCAAAGGGAGATATGGTGAGCTTGCACACATGACAGCTTTACAACAGCGGGAGCAAACTGACAGTAATATCTGCAGGAGGCTGACAGGCAGCTGCAACTTTCATGAGTGAGTGACATCTCTCTCAAACTCCAAACAGAAAATCTTTCTTTCCTCCCATAAACACACACAAACACAAGTGTAAATAAAAAGTAACGGGGTGCAGAGCTAACAGCATACCCATCTTCTTAACCCCCGAGCAGCAACATTTTGCAGTCATTTGATTCCTTTTTCTACACCATATAACTCAAAAAGAAAACCCCCCCTGCCTCTACCCCCTGTATTCACCGGACTAGCACTTTATCTTCCTGTCTCGAGGCGTAGCAGCTAAACATGCTCTCTAATATGTGTTTTCTATCCAAGTCAAGCCTGTCTGGCGGCGGGTGGGCTTGAATCTACAGTTTGAGAACCACACTGCATCCATATAGTTTCTCAGCTGTGACACAAAGCTATAATAGGACATAAATACATGGACACACACAACCCATATACAAATATGAGAGCTGAAAGCACCATCCTCGAATGGGCAACCATAAGGAAACTCAATCAGTTTAGTGTACAGCTTGTTATGTTGGAGAAAGTTTAAAAGAACCTGCAAATAAAACCGAATTGTTCTTCTCTTTTTCTCAAGGCAATGACCTCGTACTTTCAGCCACATAAAAGTGATGCTTTTAGGATCAGAAGGTAATAACTTTGTACCAGCTGTTGTTTTTCCAGAAGCAGTGAGGTAACACAGGACGAACAAAGGTCATGAGATTTAATAGACAAGTTTATCTAAGTGAGAGAAGCCTTGTGATGCTGGCTCTGTGTCAGTGTCACCATGTGATTTTCATTGAGAAATGCAGTTAGTCTTGTCAGTGTTCTTGAGATTATTATAAAATGCCTTTGTGCGCTCAGTGTCAGAGAGAAAAGAAGAAATGATGATCATCCATGATTTACACCCAACCCTTGTGAGCACTTATATAGATATCTTCATTATTTCTTTTTTCATACCCACATGCATTAAGAGAAGATCAATGCTGCCTCCTCCTGGATATGATGTGAACTTACAAACATGACAGACACCAACAAAGCACTATTCTGATTTTAGGTACAAATATTGACAAAGGTTGGAAGTTTTAAAAAAATAAAATGTGAAGGAAAACATGCAACCGAGATATGTGAACAAAAGGCTTGTGCCATAGATAATAATGAGACAATGAGACACAGACAGCGGAACTCTCACCATTATTTGATTACGTTATTGGTATCACAAGCTTGTCTGCTAATTTATTTAATATTATTCAACACAAGCAAATGATTCATTTGTTTTAACATTGGTGCCCTCGTTCCAACACATTATTTGGCCTCAAAGCCTTTTTGCATGGGTGTAGAAAGATTTTTGAACACAACATGATTTCAAAAATGTCTGATATAACAGAAAATGTTTTTTCTGGGAATACCTGGGAAAGAAGATGTAAACAAACAAAGAGAGATTTCACAAAGTGTGTCGAGGGACAGGAAAGTCAAACACACATGGTGTTGGTTTTAATCTTACATAAAACATATTCTCTGATTTGTCTCTCCATGATGCCAAGGCCAAATGCACTTCAACAAAGAAAATACCATTTGGACATTCCTAGCTGGTGTGCACCACTGGCAGCCAAACAGCAGATGTCTTTGTCTTCTAAATGTCACGACAGTGTGGGCCGCTTTGAACATTTCCAGTAAAGTTTGTTAAAGTAATAAAGAAGCAGGCAGTCATTCACTTAGACTGTGAGTCACCATTGAGCCTTTTAGTCCCATTGTAATAAATGCAATTTTTCTTCAAAGAGAAAACTATTTTTACTTCCACATGATATGTTAGATTGCATCTTTGACACCCACCAAGCTTCTCCCTGACAAAATTATCTAACACGAATTGTCCAATCCTCCTGTAACCATGTATTGTATACCTCCTATTGACAAAGCGGAGTCAGTTCCTCAGGTTGGTATTAATCAAGCTAATGTTGTTATTGAACTGACATTTAAATTAGCATAGTTCCTCATTTGCTCTTATCTAGGTATTATTTTCAAGTCACCTACTGCAGGTTTCAACCTGTGCTCAGCAAATATAGAGCTAGCATTACTGTGTGTCTTCTTTGCTCTTTTTCAACAACATTGGCCATTTTATTGATTTCCATAGTGACATGCTCCTTTTTTTGTTTGCACAGTCTGCTTCAAGGTCAGAGGTCGAGGTCAGATACTAAAGCTAGATCTAAAGTCAGTTCATTTTCTGGCTCAAGCAAGTTGTCCTACTTCAAAACGTACTTAACACTAACAAGCTGTGACACAATATTGTTTTGCACTTTTCTCTGTAGGTCCCTAATGTTCAAGTTTTAACTGGGAGTTAACACCTGAATGGCACAAATTCATTGGCAAATCATTGACTATTCAAAGCAAGTTACAGCAAACAAAAGCACAACACATAATACACTGAATGAAAATCTACTAATTTTTGCCCCTTAACCTGTTTTCAACTTGGAAACAAAAAGTTGGTTGCACTTTTTGGACAGACAATATCCAACCTAAAATAATTCAATATACACTCAATAGCAGGGATGGATTGTAAGTACATTTACTCAATTATTGCAGTAGGCCTACTGTTTTGACACACTTGTACTTTGCTTGAGTATTCCCATTGTATGCTATATAGGCCTATACAATTTATAGGCAAATATTTTACGTTTCACCTCCATACATTCATGGTTCCTAGAGCTTTATGAAACACATTATATGCTTTTACAATGTGATTCAGTAATGTAATATATCAAGTATTTAAAAGAAGGGACTAAAATTGGCTCCACATTGACACACTACAACATAACAATTGTATGACACTGAATAATACAAAAATAATTAAACCCTTTAAAACCAATCTGCATACTGAGGACTTTTACTTTAGATACTTGAATTGCATTTTGCTGCTATTTCTGTGCTACATTCTACATACTTTGCTGATAATACTTATGTAGCCTACTACATAAGTAGCCTACTTAATTCAGGACTTTTTACATGTAATATAGTTTTTTAAGAATATGGTATTTCTACTTGTACTTTATTAAACAACATGAGTAGCTTGGTAATGGAAGAAAAATATAGATAGTTTTCTTTTCAATGTAAGTTGTAATTGTTATTTTCAACGCAAACATGTTAAAATCCTAACATGAGTTGTGTTTAAACCATGGTTTAAACTTGCCTTAGTTACAGATGACTGCAGGCCAACATGCGGTGGGGGCCGCTCTTCCCTCCGCCTCTACACACTCTAGGACCCGGCCTTCTTTCAGCTCCTCCCTGCTTGCTGTGTCGTCGGTATCCGGAAATTAACAATCCCGTGATGTCAGGGGAGTGTTAGCATAGCATCGGAATGAGTAAAGTGCCTCTTTCGTTTCTGCTTTCAAACTTTTTCTGCGGTTACTTACTTCTGTCGGATAACAGTTTAGCTCCGACATGAGGCTGCCGGGTCGAAGGCTGTCGGAGGATGTATCCTTCCGCAGGGACGGGGTGAAGCCTCTCACCGGACCTAACGGGATGCCGCTCGGTTAGTCTCTCCGGAGCCCCAGGTCAGATTTATGAGCAACACAAGCTAGCAGGGTAGTTCATACTTTGTGGAGAGTTTATTCAATTCCTCTGCTCAGGCTGACAACCGAGAGTTATGGCGCGCCTGATGTTAGAGCAGCTGTCAGATTTCGGGGACTATGCTGGCGGTAAGGAGCTGACTGAGATATTTAAACTGACTAACAATAACGACCTCAAAAACAGCCTGTCAAATGTTCGCCTGAGCCCAGATGGACGTCATGTTCATGTCCTCCTCCGCAAGCCTAAAGTTGGTCTTGTGACTTTTGACAAGTATGAAAGACCCCATGTTGCCCAGAACCAGAAGAAGCTGGATTTGCGGCTGACCGTGCCTATTGTGGATATCTTTTATTTGGACCATAATAACAATAGCAGCAGCAGCAGAGGCGCAGCAGCTGTGGCAGTGGTTTATGAGAATGGAAAAGCTGAGTTTTGGAAATTCCAGGAGTGCAAAGCTGGCTGGCATCTCCTGCAAACATCAGATTTGTGCAACAGCCCCCGAGCAAAAGTGGTGTCTGTGTGTGCCTGTTCAAATCTGATCATCTGGTGTGAGGAGAGGCCACCTTCAGAGAGCACCCCTGCCCTCAGCTCCACAAGGAATAAGCTGAGATACTGTGTTTGCAGACGAGACTTCGAGGTGGAGGAGGGGGCTGTCAGTCTGGGGGGAGTGAAAATCGCCCTCCACAATAATCCTAAATTCACTGTGGTCAGCTCGGGTGAATATGTGCATCTTCTTCCTGATGTGAAAGTGAAGCCGCAGTTGTGTATCTCCAAATTCTTTCTCTCCTGGTCCCCTCGCCATGACACCTTCACAGTCAGCACCACGTGTAACAACACTCCCCTGAAAAAGCTTTCGGCTAAAGAGTCTGACTTGAAGAGGTTGGTGACAGACTGTTTGGGATACTTATCGACTCTTCAACCACCTGAGATCTACGACTTCTCCCCTACAGGATGTGGAGGCCTGCTGCTGCTGCTCAGCACGGGGTGGGTGTGTCTTCTGCAGAAAGATGGGACACTGAGACATGTATACAAACTGGCAGAAAACTGCATGGTAAAATGTGGCACTCCTCAAACAAGCCTATGCATGTACCAGGATACACTGGCTCTGCTGATGGGGCAAAACCTGCACCTGATCGACGTGAACTGTGGCAGAGAGATGGAAAAGATAACGCTGAAGAAAGAGGGGTTATTGTATGTAAACAGAGCTGAAAGATGCGCCCCTCACCTGCTCTCGGAAACTGGACTTTTTGTGGTTGTGAACAGAGAGACGAATTCCCGAGATGTCAACAACTTGAAGCCTTTTGGTGTCGACTCAGTGGAGAGTATTCACCCTGGAGAGCTCCTGGTAGAGGCTGTGTTTGAGGAGGCCTGTAAATACTACCAGCAGAGGAGCCTGAGCAGCACTCGGCTAACTGTAGACACACTAAAGAAAGGGGGCAGGTTCCAGGCCCCCATCTCTTTATCCACCATCCTCAGGAACTACCTCAGCACAGGGTTGAGGCAGAAAGGAGCTGAGCCCTTGCAGAACGGAGATGACAACACAGCGGGGCAAGATAAACTAATGGGGTCTCTAGAGGCTGAGCTCAAGGCTCTGGTCTCTCTGGAGGAGGTGAAGGGGAGTTTAGTGAGGGGGAATGTTAAAGAGGTGGAGGCAGTGTGTGAGAGTCTAGTTGAGAAAGAAGTAGCCAGGCTGATGTTGGCCTCAGAGATGGATAAAGAGGCTCTGCTTTACCTCAACACAATCTTCAGCCTGTTTCCCTCCCAGGCGTGGAGAGCAGCTCAGGCCGCCCTGCAGCTACACTACAACGGGGAGGGGTCTCTGTCCAGCAGGGCTTCCCCAGAAGTGTGGAAAACTGTCCTCAGTCCTGCCACGACGTCCAGCCCCCCATCCTCCCTCCCATTCACAAACGGCGGGCCAAAACACAATCATAGTCTCAAAGGTGATCACGTTGCTAACTGTAAATCCCAAATCTCCACTTCCCCCGCCGACATGCCTGTGTTTGAGCTCCTCTGCTACTCAGTTTTTCATTTCCAACCCAGCTGGCTGCCCCACTTCCTGGAACTGGCCCAGCAGCAGCAGGGCTCAGCAGGACTCGGGTTGGGCCTGGCCTCTTCTTCCTCCTGGGGCTTCTCCGGTGGGAGAGCAGGGGAGGGCGGGGAGAACAACATGCCGCTCTACAAACGAGCGCTGGCCGCCTTGTCCAGCCTGACCCCGGACCGAGACAAGCGGCAGGACCTGGAGGTGGAGCTGCTGCTGGTCAGTGGGCGGCCCAACGCTATCCTGCAGGCGCTGAGGACCCTCATGGCCAAGCAGCAGTGGGAGCGGGTCACCATGGTGGCCCAGAAGTTCTGCAAACGGAGTCCGCTGCTCAACAAGGAGATCTTCACTACTCTGCTGTGCGAGGTGGCTCAGCACAGAGACCTGGACCCCTACCTGGACGTGCTGTGGGCACTGTGCCCTGAGGACCTCACCGTCACCGCCATTCTCAACTTAGTGCTGAAGAACCTCCCCTCCCCAAACACCCCACCATCCTCCTCCTCCTCTTCTTCCTCATTCTCCATGTCCAGTACGACCTCCTCGTCCCCTCCTCCCTTCGCAGACTCCTACAGCAGCCAGTTGACCATCGGGCTGTTGAAACCTCTGCTGAAGAAAGTGTTTCAGAGGGAGACCAAGCCTAGCCAGCGCTACGCAGACATCCTACAGTCACCTACGTTCCCCCCTCCTGCCCCCCCACGCCAGCCCAGGACTGTCTCAGATCCTAACACAGACTCATCTCTCGCAAACGACACCACCCCGGATTATCTCGCAGAGACACCCGGACAGCAGTCACCCACACACACGGCTGTCCAGAGAGCAAGGGTGGCACTTCCTGCTAACCCAGTCTGAATCACAAAGACATGAACAAACTAAAACAATTCACACACAACCTGACCAAACTGTGAAGCAGCATGTGTCGACAATCAGAATCAGTATGTAATAGATATATCATGAGTGTAATGCAGTTAATTGTGATATTTGATGGGGTTTTTAAAAAAAAAAAAGTATTGATATGAAGTATGACTACTAGAAACTATGAAATGACTACTGAAGATCTTACCAGTGTAAATACTTCAGGTAATTTTAAGTCTTAATGTGTGTATATACTGTATCCACAATGTTATTTATCTCTCAAGCCTTAACTGCACGTGGATGAGAATGTGTTTGCTTGCATCAAATAAGCTTAGCCTTTATCAAAATGCCTTGGTAATATATTGTGTTAACACAGTGTAGTGTGTATCTGCTCAGTAAAACAAAGCCACTAACTCTCATTATTGGGGTTTATCAAATGTACAATATTCTTTGGCTTTTAATGTGAGCTGATGTCTGCTAATTGTAGCCAAATGTAGCTGCCTTTCAGTAGTTGATCATGCAGTGGGTAATCTACTGAGACAAGCTGGCCTTTGTGTTTGAAATGTTTGTTTTAAGTAGTATGGTTTAGAGGAGGAGGGGTAAGGGGTCCAAGGTTCCTTTACTGACTTGGTTTTGTACTTAACATATCATAAACATTAACCTAGTTTCGAAGGACTCAAAGCAGACCATGTAACCAAAGTAAAACAAACTCAATTCCTGTCATCCATTTGTCCCTCGAGACTCCATCTTGTCCTCTTTTCTCCCTCCTAGCCCAACTCACAGGACATTCCAGACGTAATACCCAGTAAAAGTGACTCACAGTTTGGCTTTAAATTTTAAATTCAATTTCGGAGGTAATTCTGTTAGGATTCCAGTGTGGGTTTGGTGCTCACTGACTAGGTGCCCTGCTGCTTGCATAAGGTCATGTACGTCTTCCTTCATGGACCCGGTGAGGGTATAATGTCATTAGAGATGTTAGGTCCTCACTTGGTCCTGTTAGTATTCATGCTCTGGAACCAATTGCACTTTTTTATCATCCCAGTCAGTATTGTTTGTACCATGCCTCTGTTTAAATGTTTTCTGATTGAGTGTGCTGTAAACAAAAGTATATTTATGTGCCTACTGATGCTAATGTGTGAGCAGTATATACAGCTTGTTTTAGATAGGAATCTTTTGTATGTTGAGCCTTCTGAAACAAAAGGTTTTATTTTGTAACAATCTTTGGAAGACTACTAAAATATCAACCCTGGGTTGGTGAGTTACTGACAGAGAAGCTCTAAAAGTGACATTGAGTGACAATCAGACTCCAAAATGCTGCAGAACAATCAGAGAACTCTTCACAGCGCTGCTCTTCATTTACAGAGCCGTGTCACATTCCTGCTGGGTCTCCTCAGCTTCGCTCACTCTCTGGAGAAAGAAGTGGTGGCAGAAGCATTAGGTTGTGTTTTTTAAATGACATTTTAATTTCTAATATATGCTGACTAAGATCTAATCGTGTCCTTCGAAGCTCTGTACACTTTAAACAATGTTCAGTTCAGTGCCACGAGTGTACTTTCACTGGGAACTCCCCGACTTCCCCCTACTCAGCCTGACTGAATCACTGCTCAGATGTTTAATATTAATTTGCCTTAAACTTTGCTGTTAACAAATAAGAATTCCTTTTGGGCTCGACATCTGTTCACATCTACATTTTTAATTTGTCTACTTTTGGTGGTGCTCTCTAAGCAAATTGGAAAATATGTATACAAGTATTTATGAACCGATGTATGCTATTAAACTGAAGATAAAACTTCTGCCCGGAGTTTGACATATTAACTCACTTGTTGAAAGCTTGTAATCTTGACATATAGATTGTGATTTGTTGGCTTCTATGGCATTACACTGGGTTCCTCCATGGGACTATACAGACAGTCAAATTAACAATACATAGTTCTGCCAGCTAGTTTTTATGGTACTATCAAACGTGTGTAATGTCACCTACCTGCCATGTTCCTGTTTCCACAGATGGCTGTAGTTCTCGTTTGTTCAGCTCTTTGAATATTTTCCATTCATGCTGTACTGCACATCAATAGGTCCAGCTGACAGATCACATACTCTTCAATGTCAAAAAATGAACACGTCGAGGTCTGTTTACTCTTTTGACATGTTTCGCTCTGGTGTACTAACAGAAATGAACCTTTATCTGTGTCTTAAACCTTGCTGGGTGCTTGAATATTAGGAATGTGGGCCGAGACAGACCTTAAATTAGATTTTTCATTAGGTATGGGAACCCTGATTTAAAGTTGTGTGTTTTATTCAGTCCTTTACAGCCAATGCAGTCTGACCTAAAAAACAGTCTGATGTAAAAGCTTGGCTATGTCTTGTACACACAATTATTCATTCACATGATCCACTGCCCCCATTTCTAAGTTTCACCATATCCCTTCCATGGACAAATCCACTTATAGGTGTGTGTGTGTGTGTGTGTGTGTGTGTGTGTGTGTGTGTGTGTGTGTGTGTGTGTGTGTGTGTGTGTGTGTGTGTGTGTGTGTGTGTGTGTGATC